GTAACCGCTCAAGGGTTACTATTCCAAGTAATGATTAATGCAGTTCATACTGCGGAATGCTAATTTACCCTTCGGCTTGTCGTGCGGCTTCTGCACTTCATTTGCCTCGATTGCTTGCAATAAACAGTGGGCAAACTGATTAAGCATTTTGCTGCTAGTGTAAAGATTCCTTAGCTTAGCAATATTATGTACCATATATATAAAGATTAGGTATTAACTTGTCATGTTGTTGTGTTCTATAAATAATCCCCTTAGATTCCGCTGGTTATTTATATTTCACATCCTGCTGACACTTTAAGTTAAATGCAATCAAAGTCAGACAATGCAAGCCTTCTTCCATCCAGGTGAATCAAGAGCGTCTTATCTGCACCATGACCTTGGGCAGGTGGCTGTGGGAAAACACGATCTGGGCTAGGCCGGAGGGGCCCATCATCTGCATTGCTGTCAGCACTTTCTTGCCCACCTGCGGGCTGGGCTGGCGAACAAAGAGCGAACAGGTAAAGCCCCGGGATCTGGGGATTATGGCCACAGTAAACTCTTCAGAGTGCGTCAGCTGCCACTCCAACTTGAAACGAATGGCGAATGGCTCCGTTTCTTAAGCTCTTCGGTATACACTTTATTCAACTGACTGCTGCCTGCTGCCTGCTGCCTGCTGCCTGCTTGGTGGCTCAATCCCTTTGGAAATCCTTGAGCGGCGACAACTAATGGCGCTTTGTGTTGTTGCTGTTGCCGAGGAATGTGCATTTCGCTCCCGCCTTCGCCCGTTGAGTTTGTGTGTTGTAAGTGGCACAGATCCTGCCACCGCCCCACATTCTTACCTCTCCACTGCACTGCACTCCGTTCCATTCCATTCCCTTCCTGCTTGCTCCCATTGCGAGGAGCTGTACACATAATTACTCCGCTTGCGCATTCTGACGAGGCTGATGACAGTTTCCCCGTCTAACTGGGACACCACTTCCTTCCACCGGGAGCGGGTGTTCTTTCTGGTTTGTGACCAGCTTTTGTTGTGCTCATGGACTAATTTCGTTTGCCTTTGATGGTTGCAGCACGGTGAAAAAATAAATCACTTTTTATTGATTATCATCTGGTATTCCATCAGCTTTTACTGTTTGGATGTGTAGTTAGTGAGGATCTTAATGATGAAATGTGTGCAATAACCAGCAAATTCTAACCCACAAAGTTTATAGTTTAACCCATAGTTGTAGTTGTTCCATAACTTAAGCTTCGAATGGTTTGTAGCAACCTACATGTGCGCTGCACAATATTTCTCACAGTGCACAAATGAGCACATCCAAGTTATGGAACTTCCTTTGCAGGCAGGCCCATCAATTATGCCAAATGGAGCATATGCACATCCAGTGTTGGCTCGCTTTTTCAATTAACTTACCTGGTAGTTCGCAGCCAGCCTTTTGCCTGGCCTTCTGGCTTTGGCCATACATTTTTCGAGCCTTGGACGTGGACAAAAGGTTATTGCCTCGGCCAGCGATTTGAGCTGATCAATTCGGGCAGACATGCAATCTCCTGTACTGCTGTAGCTGCAAAAACGGAAAAGTCGGAATTAACACGGAATAAATCCCATCGCCTCGCTCTGGAATTGCAAATTATGTTGCCCAGTTATCATCGGTGGAGCCAGTTGTTTGGCTTTGATTTCCCCGGCACGCAAATGGCATAAAACAGCAGGACCCAGGACTCGCGGTGGCCCACGGGACTCGGCGAGGTATCCCAGGACACGGAGGACTTTCAGCTGGAAACTTGTTTAATTTCTGCTTTGCGGGAAAAGCGCACAGCAAAGGGAAAACGTGGCAGGTGGCAAAGGGGGGAAACTTTGATGCAGGTCCTGGACACGCTATCGTACTCGTCCTCGTCCTCGTCCATGTTGCTATTCATATTTCATCCATGCGGTTTCTCCGCTTTGCTCCTCGTCCTCGTCCGTGCTCCCTGTTGCTTTTTCATTTTTTCTTTCAGCTCAGTTAGTAAATTGAGCATCAACGTGCGCTCCGGCTGACTTAGCTGTCCCCGGAGTTCTTTTTGGGTTCACCTGGGGTCACCCAGGCAGGTGATGGATGTTGGGATGGCTGGCTATTTAGCCTGCTGATTTAAAGTTTTCGCTGCATAGGAAAAACATTATCCACTTTTGCTGATATGCTAATTAAATGCATTTATTCTGTTGTTGCTTTATAGCTGTGGCCATTTTAATCCTACTCCCTTTCCATGTAATTAGCAATATGGAAAGTCCTGCTTTCCATCCAGATTTCATCCTAATGAAATGCCGCGTGCTGCCAAACATTTGAAATACTTTATAGCTAATATAAATGTTGTCCGAATTTCCGTTTCCCCTTCTGGATTATGCAGTTCGACCCATTTCCCATTTGAGGCAGTTTGCCGGTAATGAGGTGCAAACTTCTGGCATACAGACCGAGTTTAGTGATTTCAGCATAAAGTTGCGAGCAAAGTTGTCGCTAAAAGTGCCACAGGCAGAAGATCCGTTTAGAAAAGTTTGCCAAGCTGGCTGGTTATTTAGAGAGGAACTTCTAGGCAAATGGCAGGAAAAATATAAACAATAGACAATTCAAAAATGTGAAACAAGGCATTGAGCTGCTGCCTGACCACAACAAAAGCTGCCAGCAATTGCGGTTTGCAATTGGGCAAATCCCCAAACAACGAGGAGGTGTTTGGTACTGGGACACTAGCAATGGAATTTAATATGTTGTCGACACGGGCGAAAATAGAATTCTTAGTGCGGAGATATCCGAATGACATGGCTAGGGCTGCAGGCCTCCTTAACCTCCTTAGCCCCCATTTTTTTCACTGAAAATAACATTTAGAGCGATTCTTCCCCATGATGTATTTTCAATAGGTGCGCATACTCAATCCTTCAGCGCCAACAAATACATTTTAGTATAAAAACGCATGCTGCACAACTAGGAATGCCCAACTTGCATGATCCTATTCAGATTTCAAATATATCGTGGCGTAGTTTTTCGAGGGATTATAATTTCTTTCCGTGTGCGTATAATCGCTGGGTGGCCACTTGGCAGATGCTCATGCGAAGAGGAGCAGCAGGATGTCAACGCTCGGAGCAAGTGGCAGCATCAAAACTGCAGCAGCCGCTGGCAATGCGGAATTCCCATCCACGTCCATGGTCCCCCGTGCCAATCCTGCCCCCGCCCGGACACCCAATTCTCCTGGCCGAGCTGAAATTATTCAGCCAGGTCTTGTTGCATACTTTCGAGCGCAAATGTTTGCAGAGCATTCGCCTCGTGCCCCAAGAATTTGTGAGTGTGCTAGTGCGAGGACGAGTGTATGGTTGTGGGTGTGGATGTGGATGTAGGTTTGAGCGGTGTGGGTGTGGGTAGGGGGTGTGTGCATATTTATATGTACATGTCCTAATGGCTGTTGTTGCTCTATTTACGTGCGACCAAGTGGAGGAGCGATACCAGAGGAACGCCGGTGCCATGTGACTCATCATTCTCAATCCCCAAACATCCGGATTTCCATACCCACTTACATCTTAAGATTTTAAGATCCGAGGTGATTTTCAAAACACTGAAAAATAGTATGCTACCATATGTATTTCTGACAAATGCAATCATTCGCTGGCCTTTTATACTCTACTATACTTAAATGATAAACAAACTTTCATTTCTATAATATGTATTATTCATACAGCGCTTGTAATTGTATAATAAAAATGGAGAGGGATTTTCTCGCAGTACAGCCCATTCACGTCATCTACTTCATCATCTCAGCTCCAGTTTCATTCGCAGTTTGCAGTTTGAAATTGAATTTCAGTTTGGCCGCCCACTCACCGCCTCTCCGCATTTTGGCCGTCTTGTAATACACTATCATTTAGTTGACAGAGGGCAGCAGGAAAAAGGAAGCGGCATTTAAATGAGAATGCTTGTTTAAATTGGCCGGCTCGGGGTGATGAAAGGACATGATGAAAGGCAGGCGGGCAGGACCGGATGGGACATACATATGTATGCCGGCATTGTGTGCCAGAAATGGAAACCAGATCTGCACAGAAAAGTTCTCTGATTATATTCTCGTACGATGACTCAGAGATGTCTACTCGCCTTTTTCCAAGGACATTTTTTCGCTCCCTCTCGTGAAAGATGGAAAATCAATTGCGAAAACTTGGGAACGAGAAGCGTGATGTGACAGCAACTTCTGAAGTTGTCGACACCCTGCCACCGTGGAGTTATGCTTCAAGGATATGATGAGTATGCTCCACCGGTGGAACGGGAAGCTGCGTGCCATTCTTCTCGATTAATTGGACTGGCAAAGCGGTTTATGCGATAGCAAAAACTTTCAGCGCGTAGGCGGATTATTAAATTCGCTTTGTTTCACTAACTAGCTGCGGGATCATCGGCGGGGGATTCCCCATCTACCATCCTGGATTGCTCACTTCCTCTTCCGGCAACGGCCGCCAGTAGGGAGGCACCCACACCAGCAGCCACCAGACAATGGCATCACACTGGCGAAAAATCTTAAGTCACAATGGAGTGTTGCAAATCGATTGCTCAGCTTGCAGGAAAATAAATCATAACCTTTTGAGCATATGGTTTATAAAAGATAGGCGCAGTACATCTTAAGGAAATGTGTATGTGGTTTTCATGCAAACTGGAAGCATTAGGGCTTCAAAATATTAACTGTTGAGAGTAAATGATTTACCCGATCAAGGTGGGATATATATAAATTTATCAGCTTATATGATTGATAGGAAAAACATTCTAATCAGGTTACTTCGTAAAGAACTTCCCAGTGCACTGGCAACCGGCATGTCGGAGCCAGACTCCAAACACAATGGAATATGTAAAAAGGGGAATGAATAGAGGCCCTACGCAGACAGAGAATCCCTCTGCTGGGGCAGAGGTGGTGTAGTCTGCTCCTAATCCTCCTAGCTCACCACCGACCCACTTAAAAGCTACTGCATAACTATAACTATAACTATTTACGATTATCCTTATCATAATGCATATGCTTTAATTAAATTCCAGGCGAGTCGGTGCAGCATAGTATCCAGGAATGGAGCTGGAGCCGCGAGTGGCCATACTGCAGGACTTGCGCCTGCAGACCTTCGACTCCATTCGATTCGCCTCCTACCGCACCGCCTCCAAGCTGCGCTATATACAGAAGTCCACAAATCTGCATTTGGTGGACATATGGAATGTGATCGAGGCCTTCCGCGAGAATGGTCTGAATACCCTGGAGCCGCAGAGCGAGGTGAGCGTGGCCAGGCTGGAAACCCTGGTCTCCTCCCTCTACCATAACCTCAACAAGCGCCTGCCCACCGCTCAGCAGGTGCCCGTGGACTCGAAGGCGGGTCTGCTGCTCAACTGGCTGTTGGCTGCGTACACAAGGTGCGTGCACTTAATATTATATAACATATGAAATACCCCTATAAAATATTGAACTACTTTCGGAATCTTTAGTGATAACTCGGGCAAGATTCGCGTTTTCTCCATCAAAGTGGCCCTGGCCACTATGTGCTCTGGCAAACTGGTGGACAAACTGAGATGTGAGTGATAGACACAATGTGGTTAGCAAATAAACTGGATTTCTCCCTTTCCTCTGGACAGACATATTCTCGCAGATCTCGGATGGCGCTGGACAGATGGTGGCCTGGAAGCTGGGCGAGTTCCTGCGCGAAGTGCTGGCCCTGCCGGCGGCCGTGTACGAGTCGCCCACATTCCACTACAAGGAGGGGCTCGAGGAGGAGATCTTCCCGGCCGAGAACAAGGTGACGGTGAACGACTTTATGGCCACGCTGATGTCCGAGCCGGGGCCGTCCTGCCTCGTCTGGCTGCCGCTGGTGCACCGGCTGGCCACCGTGGAGACCATTGTGCATCCGACTGTCTGCTCTGTTTGCCACAAGGAAAACTTCACCGGGTTTCGTTATCGCTGTCAGCGGTGTCACGCCTACCAGTTGTGTCAGGAGTGCTTCTGGCACGGCAAGACATCGCTGAACCACCAGAACGATCACGAGGTCAAGGAGTACTCGAGCTACAAGTCGCCTAGCAAACAGATCGGTCACTCGCTGCGCAAGAGCTTCCGCTGTGTGCCCGAGAAGACGGTGCAGGTGCTCCCCCGCTTCCCCGACCAGCCGGAGAAGACGCTCAACCTGTCGCACATCGTGCCGCCCTCGCCGCTGCCCTCGCACAACGGCTTCTCGGACCCCTCGGGCCTCGTACATGGCCACCACGGCCAACATCCGGGTCTTCCGGGCCAGCACGGCCTTTTCGATCGCTCCAGCACGCTCGATTCGCGGGCCACAGGCCGCAGTCTGGACAGCGCCAGCGGCACTGCCGGCACAACCATGTCTCGCGTTGCCGCCGCATCTGCCAACGACGAGGAGCACCGCCTGATTGCCCGCTATGCCGCCAGATTGGCCCAGGAAAACCGAGCGGTGAGTGAGCCATACCATAAAAATCTTATGTCCTCTTTTAATTGCTATGCAATTGACAGCCATCCAACTTGCCCGACAATGCCACACCAATTGGCACAGATAACTCGCGAGCTCAACGCGAGCTAATTGCCCAACTGGAGTCCAAGAACAAGGAGATAATGCGGGAGATAGCGCGCTTGAGGCGTCAGCAGGAGACGGAGCAGATGGCCCCAGAGAATCCGGCGCTAATCAATGAACTGCGTGCTCTTAGGCAGCGGAAAGGAGAACTTGAAGGCCACCTGGGTGCCCTGCAGGATTCGCGACGACAGCTAATGGAGCAACTGGAGGGGCTGATGCGAATGCTGAAGAACCAGCAGACAGCATCGCCTCGCTCTACGCCCAACTCGAGTCCTCGTTCCGGCAAATCCCCACCAATGCCCGGAGGAGCTGGTATCCTGGGCACCTCCCCCATGAGTGCGCTACACGCGCAGCAGATGCAGCAACATCCGATGGCAGGGGGAGTCCGAGCCAGCCAGCAGCAACTCATCCAACAGCAGCAGCAGGCTCATGGCCACGGGCCATTCAGCCAGAGTCAGCTGGAGCAGCTCAACCAGATTAGCAGCGATATGCGGAGCGCCTTCGCAGCCAACGGAAGTGCAAGTGAGTAGAGATTGACGGGTCTGACCCTTGGTTTACTCTTCGGTTAGGTTCGTTCATGACAAAATTCTCAAAATCCCCTGTGTAAAATTGGTTAACGCGAAAGTTTAGGCCTGGGTTCAGACAGATATTAATCGTATACTCCGCCCAACAATGCGGTAACACCGCCACTGGCAAAACACACACCTAAAAACCAATATCCCAAACGAATATCACCTGACCAACCACCCAAAACACTCGCTCTCACGCCCAAAAACACACTCGTTTCTTGATCGCTTCGCCTTCGCAGCGCCACCGCCAATGCGCACCACCACTGCCACTGCCACTGCCAATGTCAGTGCCATTCCCAGCCTCAATCCGATTCCGAATCAGAATCCGAATCTGAATCCCGACGCGGAGCTCAATGAGGCTGCCGATCACCTAACGTCGGCCATTTCCCACATGGTCAGCGACCTGAACGCAGGTAAATCGTTGGATTCGATACCATCTTACCAATCGCTTACGCTTTCAAACCTGCCAATGCAATTGCATCTTGCATCTTGCATCTGCTGCTCCTGCTTTCCCAGATGCCAAATGCCCGTGAATGGTGGTCTGCACTGCACCAGCACGTAGATTTCGTAGTAGCACCGCTTCTAGAGCCACCAAACCAAACACAATCCCAGCTCCAAATGGAATGTTTTCACTCTGTGCTTATCCGTGTTCTTTTTCGGTGTGCGTATTGTCTTTGGGTCTGGCCATTTTCCAGGACGGGGAAGGGCTCATCAGGGTCTCCAGCCGGCGAGCTCCCTGCCGCAGGCTCGCTTCATCATGCCACTGGGTAAGTTGTCCCGGGCTGCATCGATCCGATCTGAATCGCTCCTCCTACTCCTGCTGGTTCCCACTTCTCTAAAGCGACCAATTTTCCGTTTTGTTTTCTTCGTTTTTCAAACCATTTGATTTTAGATTATTACCCCAATAGACGGCATAAGAAAAAGTGCTGCAAATATTGAGCTTCTCCCAGTTTGGTTAGTTGCCCTTTATAATTTTCGCTCATTTCTTCTGTATGTTAAATCGGGGGACCCTGTCCATCCACTAAACCAAACCAAAACAAACAAAATCGCCCAAAAAATCCGATTAAGAATTCCGACACATCGAGGGTGGCGAGTCCGAGGACTCGAGTCAGTGCGAGTGCAACGATTGCGAGTGCGGGGAGTACGAGGAGGTGTTCCGCACCGACGAGGATCTCGAGTGCGAGGGAGCTGCAGCTCCATTTGGGGATCCATACACCAGGTACCCTAGTACCGGCGTTCAGGAGGAGGACCACTTTGATTACACTTTCGGGCAGGGCGAGGAGCTGTCCCAGGTGAACCGTATCCTGGGCTACCGGAACCATCCGGAACTGTTTATCGACGATGACCAGGCCGGTTTCCCGGCGCTGCACGAGATCGGTGAGACAATCGATGAACTACAGCTGATCATGCACGCTTATATCATGAAGTATAGTCTGAATTTATAAAGTGTTCGTCGTAGGTTATATACTCTGCGATCAGGTAAAATATGCAAAATCTACTGCCTCTACAGTATAGACCATCTTAGCTCGCTCGACTCACGAATTTCCACTCCACCTCAGGTAGTTTCAAGTCGGGGCTCTATCTATAGTTATTTCTATAGTTCTACTACATAGCTCATCAACATTGCTGCACCACTCTCAACCGTCTCTCTATATCAATCTCAGTCAGCTCATCCTAGTTAGTCTCTAGATTTGATTCACGTTGGCTGCTTGACTCAAAAGGATTCGAATAAATTGTCTGATTTTGATTTGAGCCTGATACAGATAATACATATGCTCACTGCAAACTTGATCAATTTCAGATTTCGACGAATCTCAATCGTATAACCAAGAGTGGAATGAAAAGGTAAAGGATTTCGCCAAGAAATCCTGCTCACTGTTGATCTAGATGTTGTTCCTTGCTGTTGTATATCCTTATTTATCTTTTCTCTCTGTACATGCACTCGATATTCCAAAAATAATTCAACTATATATATCTATGTATCCTGTAGCTAGTGTAGTGATTGCCACTTTCAAATTGCCTTGCATGCCAAAGTCTTATCTTGAGTACGATTAAATAGATTACAGGTGGTTTCGATGACCTATTTTAATGCAGCGTTTTATATTTCCACAGGCAAATGCGAATAGCCAATGGCAGGAGCAGTTTGCACAATGGAGTCTTAATTCGCAAAAGAACTAAGAGCTGGCTACCAGTGGACACCGCAGGACTGGGAATCTCCAGAGGCTGCTGGACGGATGAAGACGAATTCTCGCTTAGCTTTCTACCTTACCTTAACTCATACGTTGACTTAGAGCAATTTATTTATTGATTATTTTACTGAGCCGTAGCTTACACTACCTTAATCATTATAATTTATACTTTGGTATCTACACAGAAACATTGTATGTAAACAGATATATGCAACTATGATTATTTTATTGAAGCAACTAATATGAGTATAGCTGATAAAAAAGACTTGCAGTTGCACTGCTCTTCGAAGTCGTAAATCCATTGAATCTCGTTGAAACTTTTACGATCGTACTGCTAAAGGGCAATAAGAGGTATGGTGTTTTAATTTTAGGTTTCCGCGATTTCGTAATTGGCTTTTAGATTTTGTAAGCACCCGCGCCAGCGGTTATTTATTACCAATAAACTTAACAAATTGAAAATCAAATCACGTAATGCGTAATACAAATACGATATAGACATTGACATATTATGTACTTAATACCTAGCAACTTGTTGAGAATCTAAAATCAAATTCTAAATGCTATACATTATATACATTATACACTTTGAGATACGATAAAGCCAACAACTATTTGAGTCACATGAAAGAGAACCCAATGTTGAACACTAAAACGAAAAACTAAACACGATTTATATATATTATCCATTTATATTATGCATTCATACAAGAAAAGTTATACCATATAATCGTAACGGCATAGAGCACGATATAGAGAAAATCCGACATTTATAGAACTTATACATAACTACTGAATAAAATAACAAAAAAGGAGAAAACTAAATAAAAAGGCATTTTAAACAATCACAAAGAATGCACAAACCTTTTTATTTAAATTTGAAATTTCTAATTAATTTGAGGATGCCAATTGTTAAATGTGGCTGTCACCTGATTTACGGGTGCGTGTCTTCACTAAAACGTTGAACTATTTTATATCAATGGTTTGAGTCTGCCCTATAGATATAGCCGTGTTTCACACCGATAAACCATATTGCATTTATGGTTTGAGTCCGCACTATATACGTAGCCGTGTTTCGCACCGATAACATTGCTGCGTTTTTTAGGCACATTTCTGGTGCCCGTCTCTAGGCAACGAATGCTTAAGAGCGCACTTTTCAAAGCCTGGGCTTCATTCGTTTCGCGACTTTCGAACAGTGAAGTTGACTCTCCGGCGCGTTACCTCCGTTTTGGCCAAAACTCGTGACTGATCGAGAGAAGAAGTCTGAAACCTGCTCAGAGCGAGAAAACAAGTGTGGAGACTGCAGTTCAGCATCTGCGTTAGGTGTGCACAAGAACGAAACGGAGATAGGTGTCTACGGTTTTTTTGGAGACGTCTTCGCCGCGCTCTCGCCCTCTCTGGAGAAGATTGAGATCTTGGAGCGCAGCTCTTGGGAAACACTATATATATATACATATATATTAAATCGCGCGCTTGCAGGGTGTGGTGCTAAAAGTCGATTTCTAAGATGTGGCGCCCGAGTATCTCCAATTGCGTGTGGAGCACCCTGCTCCTGGCCATTTTCGTGCAACAAACGCTGGCCCAGCGAACACCGACCATATCCTACATCACGCAGGAGCAGATCAAGGATATTGGCGGCACTGTGGAGTTCGATTGCTCCGTTCAGTATGCCAAAGAGTACAACGTGCTGTTCCTGAAAACGGACAGCGATCCCGTCTTCCTCTCCACGGGCTCCACGCTGGTCATAAAGGATTCGCGCTTCTCGCTGCGCTACGATCCCAACTCGTCCACCTACAAGCTGCAGATCAAGGACATCCAGGAGACGGACGCGGGCACCTACACCTGCCAGGTGGTAATATCCACCGTGCACAAAGTGAGCGCCGAGGTGAAGCTATCGGTGCGCCGTCCCCCGGTCATCTCGGACAATTCCACGCAATCGGTGGTGGCCAGCGAGGGCAGCGAGGTTCAAATGGAGTGCTACGCCAGCGGTTATCCCACACCCACCATCACCTGGAGGCGCGAGAACAATGCCATTCTGCCAACTGGTGAGTTTCCTCAGTTATTTGTGGGTGATTATCGTGGGTTACGCTGGGTACGCTGGCTAAGTCAGCTTTCGTTTGGTGGGGCGCGTTCTCCAGCTCTCACTCTCCCTCTCTCTCTCTCTCTCTTTGCTCTCTGCGCTCCCACTCTCTGGGCAGGTCGCTCTGTCCGTCCCGCTTTGGCATTTGGCTTTAGCTGGGAATGGGGGCTTTAACTGGGCTCTGGGCTGTGGGCTCCAGTGTGAGTGACCGTGACTCACTCAGGCGTCACCTTAGTTTTCAGTTTTGTTTACTCGACTTGGTCTGGCTGTTCTTATAAACGGGGTCTAGCCCTGCCAACGCCAACACCCCACCTGTTTCGAGGGCTGAGTTTCGCAACAGCAGATTGATTTTTCTTTTTTACTTGCCTTTTGGGCCGTTTTCCACTTTCTGGAGTTCGGAAACGTACGCATGGTACCCTTTGTTTACCTGTTTGGCCTTTTGAAGATTGTTTCGCAAAGGAGTCAAAACAAATAGCAAGGGAAAATCTAATTTTTGCAAGTTTGTTAGATCAAGAATACATTAGTTGTGCAAGAAAAACTTGATTGTTTTTTGTCATAGCGTACGATACTACACGAGTATAAGGAATTGACTTCTAGCTTTTTCTTGTTTGTATTATTTTTATTATTCATTACTTAGCAATTAGCACGTGTGTGGGACATGAAAATATTTGGCTTTTGTATAAATAAAGGTTTTTTGATTATCAGAAAATGTATCATCGCTATTTGCGCAAAACAGATCACAAGCGAAATTTCTTATCCATGCACTTGTCGAAAAAACCCACATCGAGTTATATACCAGAAATAATATAATATATACAATTTTCTTCACCTTGTTTATGTTCCTCCCATTCCAAGAAATGGGTCCATTTTTCTCGGGAAACTCCGTTTCGGACAAGTGCAAATGCTATCTACAAATTGTTTGCGTTTGCTTGTCGACCACGAAATTCTCGAAAGGAAGGGAAAAGCTAATAAAACACTAAAGTAATTTGGTGCCCAGGTAGATGGAACAATAGAACCTTCTCTCCTCCGCTCGCTAGGTTAATCCCATACAGGTGCTGCTGTTCCATAGCGATCTCGATGCGATCTTTACCTGAACTCTGACCCTCATGCAGACATAATGGCTGTCCTTAACAAGATTGCAGCGTCATTTGGAAAGCAATTAGTGTAACTAATCCGACAGTTACTCATTACCCAGAACCGACTTGCGGACACACCCTACCTGGTGTCGCTATATCCGATAGCAAGCTTAATTCCCGCGGCATGTATCTATCAGCTGGCTTGTGCAATCTTTAATTGCCACGACATTGAGGCCTCCTTCTGTGGTTCAATATAAAAATAAAAATGAAATAAAAACCAGGCGTGCCCTGCGCTACGAGCTATAAAACCCAACCGCAACCAGTTGGATACGCTCCACGGCTGGCCAGGAATGGCTTAACTCCATTCCGCCATAAATCAAAGGGCCCTGAGTTTGGGGTCCAGTATTTGCCAGGAGTTTCACACTTTTCCACGCTCTAATTTAAAGCGCTTAGGCAAACAGAACAGCACAGTGCCACCACGTCCAGCAGCGCTTTGAAATGCGCCAACGAGCCGAGTCAAATGTTTTCCAAGGGCTATCGTGGCGGGGGGTGGGAGGTGCAGTTCCATGGTGTACCCAGAGGTGGGCGTGACGAGGAGCTACGACTGCACAGCCTTTGTGCCGCTTTTCACATTTCACGTTTCGCATTTCCATTCCCATTCCGAATCGAGCTTCTCAGGCATTCGACAACTTCAGCACGCGCAATTGCTTCCGCAACTTGAAAACGTTCCACGGACCGTTTGATGGTCTCCGGGTCTCCTCATCTGCGACTCTGCGACTCGCCGACTCCGGGCAAACAACCCGTGCAAAAACGGTGCGGCAGCAGAGGGCTGTTTCTTACACATCAGACACGGTCTGGGCTTTTGGGTGGGATAAAAAAAAATGCAAAAGCTGAAAAATGAAACTCTGAGGTGGAACGAGTAAACAGCAAACATACGCAAACAAAGGGATCCTGAGAGCATGGCAAATGGGCTGCGCCCCCTGGAAAAGAACTCCCAGGCCCACAACCCTGGATAACACCACTCCTTCCCCCTTCCCCCCCTTTCCACCGTCGCATTCTCGGCTACATAATTCTTATTTTGATAGCCGGCAAAATACAATCGAAGTATACAAAATATATATAAATTACAAGCTAAAAAGGTAACCCAAACAAAGGTCGGTGGTTCCCGGGGCGAGTACAATGTAAGAGATGCAAACAAACAAGCCGCGAGCGGTTCGAGCCCTTCCGTGCCCCTCGATCTAAACAACCCCTGATCCCATCAGCCGGTTGGGAAATCCATTTCGTCCCGCCCAGGGACTGGTGCCTCACTGGTGCCCGGTGAGGAACCCCTAATCAAGCGTTTCCGCTCGCCAGTTCACCAGCTTACCAGTTCTGAATTCAGGGTGTTGAGGGACCCGGGTCCATGCCAATTTGTGCGTTGCCATGCAAATCGATTGGTTATTTTTCACTTTTTATACCTATGTATGTATGAGCTATGTTACATTGAATGGCCAAACC